TACTACTACCACCTCCTCTACTACTACTACTACTACTACTACTACTAGTACTGCCTGCTCCTGCAACTACCCATTGCTATGTACTGACTACGCTCAATGCAGATTCGTCGACCTCTAAGCTCGCATCCGTGTGTTGGAGTTGCAGAAGTTTTAGGGCGGGCGGGAAACTCCAGATGGAATAGATTTAAGACTTAATCAATAACTACAATGACAATTCATGCGTTTGAATGACACGTTTGAATGGTTTTCAGGGTCGGGAAGGGTTTCATGGGCCCGCAGCTTGCAGGTTACCCCGGGTTGTATATATATAGATATATATATATATTTATTTATTTATTTATATAACCCTTCCCAAAACGTGACCGTAGGCACCAAGAGTCACAGGACAGCCGTACTTCGATGAGACGGCAACCAAACTCCCTGTCAGCGCTTCTTTGCAACCGCAGGTTGTAGGGCACAAAGCTCGGATCCTTCGTGATGCACACCAACCGTGATCCCAACTGTAATACTAAACCCGCGACGACACTTGCGATACAGTATTTTCCACTACAGCGGATGTCAGACCATTTGCAAGGGGTTTACGAGCATGAACACAGTAAAAGCAAAGCGTCTTCTTGGCTTCTTTCAGCCATTCCAGATTTCGCAAAAAAACTAACAAGTGTATGCCCCAACAACCTGCTGATGTTCGAATTCCATTGATCGATCATCCGGGCACGTCCAAGTCAAGCAGCGACTCCGGGCTATTAACTAATTGCTTTACAGTAAGAGTCGGACTGTATGCCAGAAGTGTTATGCGGTTCGCCAGGTTGCAGGCTTACTACACACATGAAGATGAAGTACTCCGTCCGTCCTCCACAGGTTATAAGCCAGGTAAGACCAGTCGTCGCAATAGGCTTCTGCAGATGTGCAGGAGTCCAAACGATCAGTCTGGAAAATCTCCTGCAAGAGCTGGACCGCCGCTTCACCGAAGTTTTGCAAACCAGAGCCCTCCAGAATGGGGTGGTCGCTGTCCAGGCAGACTGGCATGAAGTCGTTACGGCTTTCAAGGTTCCGACCCTCAAACTCCACGATGACCTGCTTCAGCACGTCGCTGGAAACACGAATTGCCGAAGGCTGCAGATCTCGAGAGCCCTTTAGGCCAGTGGCTTCAAAAACAGCACGATAAGCGTACGTCTCGCTCTGCGCAGATGATGATGCACTATAGTCCCGCATGAACACAAAGCCGGCCGCATCCTTGAAAAAACTAAAGGACGTGTTCCCGCCGCACAGCACATCTGCGGTCTCCTGCATCCTGTCCACCATGGGCTGCAGAAAGAGGAGGTGCGAAGAGAGCACCACGACTGCAATGAATGCAACCTGGCTGCAGGATGAGTCTGGAGGAGGACTATGATTAGGGTGATTAGGGAAAATTTCAAAAACATGAACAATATGTTGACCTCAGGAAGATGGTGTAGCTGCTCATGTCGCCTTTACCATTGCCGTTGCTGTAGCGGCTGCTGCTACCGTGGCTATACGGGCGACGATACTGATTACGATAGTAGTATCGATGACGATGACTACGACGAGGATGTTGATGAAGAAGGTGATTGTGCGATAATGATGATGATGACGATGCCGATGACGACGACGATGATAATGGTGGTGGTGATGATGATGATGCCGTTGTTGTCGTTGCTGCTGCTGCTGCTGCTGCTGTTGCTGCTGCTGCTGCTGCTGCTGCTGCTGCTGGTTCCGCCGTTGCTGTTGTCGCTGCAGCTGGTGCAGCCCTTGTTGATATTGTCGTTGTATTGCTATTCTTCCTGCTACAGTAGTGCTGTTGTTGATGTTGTTGTTGCTGCTGCTGTTGTAGTAGTTGTGGTTATTGCTGCTGCTGCTGTCGTTGCTGCTGGTGTTGTTGTTGTTGCTGTTGCTGTTGTTGCTGCTACACCATGACAGCTAAACTAAGGGTCGTCTGCGGGCACGTGTGCACTCAATTCATTATGCAATTTCAGTAGGGGGGTACGGCTCCCTGATGCTGCCGTACCCAAACAAGCTATGCATCAGAGAGGGAGGCCAGGCCTGATCAGCCTGCTGTACCTGCAAATTGCTTGTGAGATAGTGTATTCATCCTTGCCGTGTGATGTGGATACCGCTGCTTACCGCGTGATTTCTTCTAGATGGCATGGGGCTAAGCCAAGAACC